ATAAGATATTTAGTCATTTTTTAAGACACCATAATGTTTTCCCTCTCTGCAGTGAAATAACCAAGATATTTAGTCATTTTTTAAGACACCATCATATTTTTTCCCTCTCCGCAGTGAAATAACCAATGTACTTAGTCATTTTTTAAGACACTGTCATGTTTTGTTTCCTCACTACAGTGAAATAACCAAGGTAATTAGTTGTTTCTATGAAGGGATGAAAACTAATACTTTAGTTCCAAGTCAGTAAATGAACAGATTTGGAATTTCTGCTGGATACAAAGGAAACTGCAGTTTTCTTTGAAAAAAATATCAGTTTAGTAGAGGGCAGATCATTTTATTTCGTCAGGAAAGTGACACCAGTTATGTAAAAAATCCTGATGAGGTAAAATTTTAGATACAATAATTGTCTTGCATACCAAACCTAGAGAAAAATTGTTGCATTCCTTGCATTTTCAGAGAAGATTTTCTGCTCCCACCATAACTTTTCTTTGTGGCCTATAAAGAGGTTGAATATGTTATATTAAAATGATTTTTAAGCCTCACCATGGTATTACACTTTGTTGCTACACCTGGTTGTGATCCATCTGGTTGATTGTGCATCTTGATAATAATCCTGCAGTATATCCATAATATACACCTCTTCTCCTTGCTGGCTTTCCATAATCCATCAAGTGTAAGAGAACAGCAGTTTCCCATTGCCTGTTTCAACAGTTTAGTTCACAGAAATATGGTAGGGTGACCAGCAACTTGATCACTTTGTATGAAATAGCTTGAATACCCATTCCTTTTTCAGCTGCTTGAGATGTGCAGTGTTTGAATGGATATATCATTAAAGCACCTTGTGTACATGTGTGTAGTGTCCCTTTTCTAGATGGAGATCTTTCCAGATGGTCCTGGTGCCCTAAGTTTATTCATATTTCTCTGTTTCCCAGTTCCATTAAATACAAAGGATATGTCTGTCCTAGAAATTCCTAATTTCCAATCTCAATACTTCCTTATGACCTGACTATATGAATGCTTTACACCTGAAAGGGCTGTTACATACCTTTTTCAAAAGTGATCACTTGTTGGTGTTATCACAATGCCAAACAGTGTAAATGGAGTTGTGATACTTGTTGTTCCACTGAAATTCTGTATCACCTGTGGTTGTCATGTGACTTGCTGATTTGCATATTCAAAACAGTTAATACTCAATTCTAAAGTTTCAACATTTTTTTTTGTCAATACTGTTCTCCGTATGTAATTTCCAGTGTTGTGTTTTATATACCAACTACATTTAAAGCTGTGTTATTATTCAAAATAAGAATTACTTTTGTTAATAGGCATAAATGCCGTGATAAAAATCACGTTAACTGCAGATGTTCTTTTTCTACATTCATCTTAATTTTTCCATTTCAGATTTAAAATCATAGGTTTGTAAAAATAGCATTTCAAATCTTTTTTCTCACACAATTCATTACCCAAAAAGCCTTTCATTCATTACTAAAACTTATTCATCAGTTGGGCTGGACAATGAGAGACACAAGATTCTCTGAAATGCTATTTATACATATGAGTATAGAAAAACAATTGCAATTAACAAAATTTATATTCAAATTTTAAGCCTGTTAGTTTTCAATGCTTTGCTGGGTTTCAATTTTTAAACTGTATCTTCTAAACTATGGAGTTTGTTCATGAAACAAACCCTTGATATTAATTGGATATAACCAAGCAGTCTTTTACAGGTATAATTTGTTCCACATACAGAATCAGTATATATTATAAAAATAAGGTATTTCTTCTGGAATCTGTTTGAATCACTTTTTATGCTTTACCAAGCAAACTGGCTGTAACATGATCACAGCCACTTTCTTTGTCTTGTCAGGTAGTATTACTCCACCCCAGTCTAGGTTGTGTAAAGAAAGGTAATTTTATACGAGGATGATTTCACCTGATGAAGCCAGCTTTCACGGCATCAGTTATGTAGTTTGATCAACACGTGCCAATGTAATATTTCATTGACCTTTCATTCTAGGTCGTAGCCCTAGCCCAAAGTATGATTTTTCAAGCCATGTATTTGCCTTAGGGTGTTAGTGTGACTGTTTGTGTCTATAATTTAACCACCTATTTTTTAACCTGATTAACAGTATTAACACTTGTCAGCATGGTATCTAAGCCTAAACCATGTAATGTTTCTTTATGGTAACATTTTCACTGATAACTTCACAGAATTTAAGAATTTGATTTAGTCATTCTGTTGCTGCTTGGAACTCTGGGATAAACTTGGTTCTATTACAGGAGATAATCGTCTCTTATTCATGTAAAACTACCTATAACAATTGCATTTCTGTGTGAAATATATATTTGAAAGAAATTGTAAAGGATCACTAAAGCACTCTGCCCCCTATCTTTAAAACATTGCAACACAAGTAATGTTAAGTGTTTGGTTTCCCTATATGTTTGGTCAGTTTTACTTGATTATCTTGCATGATTGCTGTGTAGTTATTATTCTAGTTTGTTAAACCCTGTTACTGGTGATTTCACTAAGATTATGAAGTAAAATTTATTCTAGGCATGATAGGTAATGGAAGGATTAAATTAAAATAATGTGTAGGTGTATTGTACAGTGTTGATAACTGTTGCATCCTCAAGATGCTTACATATCAGTGTATTTTTGTCAAACTGTCATATTTTTCATAACTTCAGTTGTTATGAAATAAATTGCAGAAATACCTTATTACACAAGTTCTTGAGTGAAAGGTAGTTTATTGTATTTCATGGAAACTGCTTCTTTAGTTTCAAATAGTCAGATATGTGGTGTTGCTATACAGTAATTCATTCAGAAATCTTAAATACACTGATGGCAAGCTTACTTGAATTTTTATCACAAATTTTGTAATTTACTAGAAAAAAGAAAGATCACTGCATTATACACGTATGAGTTTTTGATAATGTTAAGAACCTAGATATAGCAAATATTACCTCTGATGCAATATTGATATCTTAAACTTATCAAAAAGAAAACTTTAACATGATTACAGCAAAAGCTTTTATAATAACTTCCTAGAAATTCAGTCAAACTGAACTATGAGAAGCAAGAAAATGCAACAGAGTGAGAAAGAGAGAGAGAAAGAAATGTAGTAATTAAAATTAATATTGTAATTACATTAAACATGCTACTTAACATTATATCACTTCTTTAACACAACAAAAGCAGCATATAAGAATACCTCCCTCACACACACACAAAGAGAAGACTTATTATCTGCCTTGGGGTTTTTTACTATTGTTATGTGATCATGTAATGTTGATGTATATTTGAGATATTTATGAAATTGTGTTAAAAAAATAGATTTTGGGTTTTCATTTGGAAACAAAATTGTGCTTATTTTACTACATGTTTATGTTTTAATAAACAGATAAATTTTTAAATATTGTAATGGAAACTTCATGTTTGAACGATGTGAATGTCTTTTTAGGGCAAGTCACAGTTTGTTGAAAAGATTCTTGTAAGAAAATATTCATTGTCACTGTTCTTAGAAGATACAGTTGCTTTAGCTGTGTATACTCTTTGCCATGTTTGTGCTGTAAATACTCTTAGCTCATTTGTTCTTCCTTGTAAAATGATGTTTGTTTAATTATTCACTTGTGTTTTTACCACTGAATTTCGTTCAAGTGCACAAGCTGTTTAGTATCCTGTCTTTTTTTACTGTTTAAAGTGTAGACTAACACTTAATTGTAGAAGGTGTTATTGTTAGCAAAACAGTAACTTCAGCTAAAATGTTTAGTTTTTAAAGTGGCAAGATAAGTTTCTTTATAAAATATATTCAAATTACGTGTGATTTTTAAAATAAGAATGAAGGTATTTTAAATTTTAGTTTTCTTATTACATATAAAAGTTGTATTGAAAATGTTGGTGCAATGCTTACTATTCTGGTATACTTCGAAACTCCATGTATTTAAATTGCTTTAGTCCATATATACATACATACATACACACACACAAAGTATTTCCATAAAATATATTGGGTATGATTGAATTTTTGTTTTTTTATATCGTAATTACAAAGATTATTTTGCATTGTTTGTTTAATGTGTGGATTTAGGGCTAATGTAAATCTTCAAGTCAGTTTAACTTTGTGAGGTATAATTGAGATTATAGCCAACTGAAAATATTTAGTATTAACTTTTGATCAGTGCAAAGCACCTACATAGAGTGAAACTAAAAATCAACTTGGTAATGAACATATCTAATTAGTTATAATTTTCTTAGTTTATACTTATAAAGATGAGAATGCATTGTTTGGGTACCATCACTATTAACACACTTTTTGACAGTAATGTTACTAGAAATTCACCCAGCTGATGATTCTGTGCATCTAATCATTACAAGTTTTAGTTATCTGATTTATAACATTAAGTTTTATTTGTATCCAGACTGCCATACTGAACTGTCTTCTGTAATGTCGACTGTTATACATTATTTTAGTTCTGGTGTGTATAATTATCTTAATTTTGAACAAAAGCTTGTAATATATATTTATAATTAAATGTAATTTATCATGTGCAACAATCATGCCAGTAATTATGTAAAATAATTGCAAAATTATATCTATATTGTAAGTCTAAAATGTTCGTTGTGTCTTGTAAGTAGTGTTTGTAACTGACAGCAAGTTTTATAATCACAAAGTAAAACCACATTTTAAGTCTCTTTTATTATTAAAACCAGAATAATCTGTTATGTATTAACTGAATTAAATGCATAAATAAACATTAGTAAACCAATTTACTATATGTGTAACTGAGAGCAAGTAAGATTTATTCCTAATTTATTTCTTAGATATTATGTATAAGAGGTGGGGTAAAAGTGACTATATTTGATATCTACCATATAATATTGACAATATGATACCAACCGAACAGCAACTTTTGTTCTACCCTGTATATAGAGATCAATCAGTCCACCAAAATTACATTTGTTTTATTTGTGGTTTATTAATTTGAAGTTCTTATGATTACAGTTATGGTGTGCTTCTGTGGGAACTATTAACTGGGGAAACACCTTACAAGGGTTTTGACACATTTGCTGTTGCCTATGGTGTTGGTGTTCAAAAACTTACATTGCCAATCCCCTCTACCTGTCCTTCTCCCTTTTCAAGAATATTGAAAGGTAAGAGCTGATGTGCTTATATGAAAATTGAGTACTAATATATTTCTCAGAGTCTTCATCTAATTGCCTGTTTTTTATTGTGAAAGACTATCCACGTGAAATAATTATTTATTTATGAAGGAAATATTAATTAATGTTTTCATAATTATATGATTATTGTGCCATCTGGTGGCAGAATTTTCTATTATACCTTACTATTGTTTTAAGCAAAAATTCGAATATAATTATAGCTATAATAACAAAAGCATTCATATCTTTAGATTTTAGAGATTACAGTTTTAAATTTTCTTTTTCACAGTACTCAAAACTTTTAGGTGTTTTCATCTAGACCTAATATACATAGTTGTTTTTATAGTAAACCTATAGTTTGAATATATTATGCGTACCCTGGAATGGGCAGCAACTGCCTGTTGTAGAAAAACACAAGTGTAGAGGGCGACGTTTCGAAAGTTGTTGTTCACTTTCGAAATGATGTGTTTTTTTTCTACAATAGGCAGTTGCCACCCATTCCAGAGTATTCATCATGAATACACTGCCTAAACAATCTATCAGAGAATACTTTGAGTATCATTTTATTTAATACACTTATAGTCATGTAATTGTTAAGTTATTATTAACAGCTTTTAAACATTAAATATATCTTAACAATTCTTAATAACTAAATAATGTATATAGAAAAATTTTCTTTTAACCATGTAAAGACAAAGTGTATTTTTTTTCAATTAAACAATATTAATGTTTTTTCATAAAAAAATATAAGTACATGAAGGAGTACTAAATCATCATCTAGCATAAATGTAACAAATGTAGATATCTGTTCTCGACTGCAGAATGCTGGAATATTGATCCTCACAGCCGACCAACATTTGTCAACCTTCTTACTGACTTAGAAGTCATAGCTCAATCTCCATTCATGAGCACACCTCAGGAATCATTCCACACCTTACAGGAGGATTGGAAACATGAGATTGGAGAGATGTTTCATGAGTTGAGGTGCCGTGATAAGGTGAGAAACTTTTAATTTGTGTAATGAGTTTGTAACTAGAACAAAAAAAGTAAATACATGGTGTAAACTTGAAACATGGAACATTATTAGTTGAATGATTTTTTTTTTCATGCCAGAATACCCCGTCCCCCCTTTTTTAAGTTTTCCTAGATACAGGCAATCTATCTATGAGCCATTTCCATGAATAGCTTTATGTTTCTGTGTAATGTGAACTGTTGTTTTGTGGGAGCTATTACGGTTGAATAAAGCTTTATGGTAAATACTTTTGTTGTTTGGAGTTATGGTATAGAAGTCACTGAAGTAAATCTCTGTGGTATACCTTTTCATTTTGTAGGAGTTGTAGTGTTTATTAAGCTCAAATAACTCTTCATGGTATGTACTTTTGATGACTTGCAATAGCTGTGGCTCAGATTAATCACAGTAAGTTCCCATAATTTTGCTTTATTTTGTAGGAAATAAGGTGTAGAGAAGAAGAACTGAGTAAAGCTATCATTCAGCAAAAGATTCAGGAAGAAATGTTGAAGAAGAGAGAACAGGAACTCGCCGAGAGGGAGTTCTACGTCTTAGAAAGAGAACTCAGTATCATCTTTATCCAGCAGCAACAGGGAAGACCAACTCCTAAGAAAAGGAAAGGAAAATTTAAAAAAAGTAGACTCAAACTGTTAAAACATGGAAGTCAGCAAATTAGCATGCCATCAGGTATTGCATTGTATAGATGTATCCCTGTATAGTAAAACTGAAAATAAAAAAAACATGAAATAAATTGTTGATTAAAAAAATTACTAATAGGAAAAATTTCTTATAGTCAAAGTAAAAATGGTAAATAATTTTTTTGTAAAATTTAATCTCAGTTTAATAATTTATAGGTTGCAAAGTGTTATGAAGTATCTAAGTAAAAATGCTTATACATTTTAATGCTGTGTTCATAATAAAAAAATATACAAGTGTCCATTGAGGATTCTAAAAAAGAAAAGTACATTCATAGTATTTTCTCTAAACTTTATAAATCACTTTTTACTAGGTTTCTTTTAGTCAGTGAGAGAGTCATCACATTTTGAATTAGGGCACATAATTCATAATTGTAATTGAAACACTTTTAAGTAGCTATGAAGGTTGTAATGTGCATTTCTTTAAAATGTAAGTTCAGTTCACTTGCAGCTGTGCATGTTAGAGAACTTGTTTTTTGAAGTTACTGAGAATGCTAAATATACTCTAATGGTAAACCATAGTATAGGTTATCATCAGAGTGTTTGACTGATGTGCTATAATGAATATTCATTGCCTTTTTTCAGAAGTCACAATAAATGTTTTTGTTTACATTTGTAGACTTTCGGCACAACATCACTGTACAACCCAGTCCTACAATGCGATCAGATCTGAAGTCTCTGCTTATGCCCTCTAGTCCAGAAAGTCCTCCAGCCTCACCTAATCACCCTCGGTTACGAGCTTATGCATGTAAGTTTCTCCCTTTTTAATTGTTTTTGTATTTTTTTATATTGTTATTTAATACCCATTTTTGTTTTGGTAAATGTCTTATTAATTTATTATATGTCTGAAAAGAAATAGTTCATCTTGACTATAGCCACAAGTTGCTAACAAGTATTGTGAAACTCTTATGTCTCTGCTTTATTGGTAACCCCTCCAACAGTGAATATTTTGGTAGTATTGTGAGTCTGGTACACTTGGGATATGTGTATAATCCCTTTAGCATTAGTGGATGTCTAATAAGTATTGTGAGACTGGTATGTCTGTGATATGTTGATAGCCCAGCCAGCAGTAGATATCTTAAGTAGTATTGTGAAACTGGTACACTTGGGATATGTGTATAATCCCTTTAGCATTAGTGGATGTCCAATAAGTATTGTGAGACTGGTATGTCTGTGATATGTTGATAGCCCATCCAGCAGTAGATATCTTAAGTAGTATTGTGAAACTGGTACATCTAGACTGTTGATAATTCCTGTAGCAGTATATATCTAACTATACTTTTATCAGGATTATATATATATAAACAAAACTAGAGATTTTCTTTGAGAGACAAAGAATGTAAATTAGCTTTCTATTCTGATTTTTTCTCAGTGCCAGCTGATGGTGTTAAGGGTAAAACCTGGGGGCCCAGTACCGTCCACCAAAAAGAGCACGGGTATTCCAGACAAAGGTTATTAATAGATGAAAATAAACGTTGGTCAAAGAGTGCTCCAAACCTTGAAAAGTCACAGCGTGGGACTTTTCCAGTAGGAGGAGTTTCTAATATTGGAGCACTTCATGAGATTGGTAGGTCAAAGGTGACAGTTTGAGGGTCGTTCAAGAAACCTAACTTCAGCTGTTTATTATTTAACTTAAAATAATAAGATGTGAATATGTATTTGCATAGACAACTTGCTTTTTTATTTAAATAAGAAACTTTTTATTACTGTATCGAAGGGTGGATCCAGAGGGTGGTTTGAGGGGATTGCAACCAGGGGTGAAATTCTGTCTGTAGTCGCTGGTCCTGAGTACCAGAACTTATTTTTTAATGCGGTACTCGTACTGAGACTTATTTGAGCTGCTTTTTCATTTTTTATGTTTATACACAGATTGTTTTTCTTTTTCAAAAACAGATCCACTTCATCTAGCTGAGTACCTGTACTTTTGTTTTGAGAATCTCACCCCTGGTTGCAACCACCCTTTCTTATCGATTACTAAACAGAGATTAATCTTAGACTTAATAAATAAAGGAAATTTTGTTTAAAAGGCTTCATTACCTGGTGGTAAGAGAACCCCATTAGCAAAAAATCCTGGATCCACCCCTAGTATTTTTCTAAGCTTTAGCCCATGATCCTAGTTGATGTACTTTCTTCAGGTAAAAATGAAGTATAACATAATGTGCATTCCATAATTCCATAAATCCCATGCTGAACTAAAGATAAGCATGTTACTGAAGCAAGAAAAAGTTTGATTTCTCCCATTTATATGGTGCTTCTTTTCCAGGAGTAGAAGAAGAATTGCATGACAATATGGGGTCTCCTCGACACTGTGGATCTTACAATGGAACAGTAGCTACGGACTCTGGAAGCGTAAAGAGATGTGGCCGTAAGCTGGTTGACTCTGTGTTATGCAATCTTGGTGCCATGTTGGCTGGAGTTGGTGCTGGATTTGATGTCCGCACAGTCAACCAGTCTCATCTCCACCCTCGATTGACTCCTTCCAGAGCAGAGGAGAAAGAAGAAGAGCGTCGGTGGTGTTACCGAGATCCTGGTAAGTTGGTACTTGATATAAAAACATTGGTTATATGATAAGAGGGAATTTTAATGTTAGAATTGCTCAATTTTTTTTTGACTTCTCCAAACAAATGTATATACATTATTAAGATGTTTTTTTATTCTAGCCACAATATGTGTGTTTTCATCATTACGATTGAAAAGATCAGAAAATGATTGGGCACTACTCTTTCATGTATATTGGGTTCACTATTTTCATTATAGAGAAGGTTTCACATGAAAAACTAGCTTCTGTTTTCTTAAAATTGTTTATATCTGACTTGTCTATATGTGTATATATATATATATATATATATATACACACACACACACACACACACACACACACACACACACACATACATT